CTTCGTGAAATTGGGGTGACAAGAAAGGGTTTCCCCTAGTGAGACCTCGTTCATTCCATTAAGTACCAAAATTTTTCAGGGCGTTTAAATAGGGTTTTTGCCGCTGGGGGAGCGGAAACCAAGTGACCATGCATTTGTCCTCTTTTTGGACACATTTCTCTTTAGAACGAGGTACCGAAAGTTGCCAACCCCCTTGCTAGCCTCCTGTTCGGCGATGGGCGTTGTGAAGAGTTTAAGATCTATCTTTCGAATGACCCCAAGCGGAATTGCCCAATTTCGCCGAGATGCCCAAAGGCGCGATATTCGTAAACATTTGTGTGTATGCGTGCTATTCGTCCGTTCGTCTGTTCGTTCGTTTTGGGACTTCCCGTGGTCCGATCTGCACGCAAGTTTGGTATGCCGCCTCCTTGGTGACCCTTAGAGCCGCCCCGTGGCAGCGAATCCGATCCGAGCCCCGGGGTTGGTGCAGCAGGTGCATCATGGTCTACATAGGGTCGAAGAGGATTTACGCCCGATTTAGGCACAGTATGCAGCGAGAATGGCATGTAGGGGTATTTTTGGAATCGGGGCGACCAGAAAAAGCCAACGGTGCTAGTTTCGAGCAAATCGGAGAGGTTTGGACCCGGGTTCAAATCCGGTGGGGGGACCATTTTTTTAAATCAATCTTTGCATTCTTTAATATGTTTTTGGGTTGCTAATGACGAAAATAACATTCATTTAGACCCAGACCCAGGTTCAAAACCCGTAACAGTTAAACATAGGCGTAATTCGAAAATTTTTAATGTACGGGACAAGCTAAAGTTGCCGATGTGTATCGCCACTTTTCATGCTGTTCTGCTACGCCAATGAGTCAAGGGTACGCCACTGACTCAAAATAACGCCAGAAATGGTTTCAGCGCACCTGGAAACACTTCGGCAAGTAAACAATCGGAAAGATTTCTGAAAATTTGTGTTTCATGGCTACGCCACTGGTCTAGGGTACGCCACTGACTCAAATTGACGCCAGAAATGGATTCAGCGCACCTCAAAACCCCCCTCACAGAAATTTCACATCGATAACTCAAATCGTTTCCATGGTAGACATTTTGCAAAGGTTTTTCTGATTCTGACCCATAGTGCGCCGGGGCGGGCTGGTGTGTCTGGCTGGCTGGCTGGCGGTGAGGCGCAGCCTGCGCGGACAATGGCACCCCCTACCCCCTCCTCGCGCGCGACGGCCCGCGCGCAACATTGACAATCCCTCTCCGCCTGCCACGTCTCAAAGGGTGGGTGACTCGGGCAGACCTCGGCTCTGCTCAGCTCGTGCCGGCTTCGGCGCCAGCTCGGCCTCGTTCGTTGAATGAGATTTTAAGAACTATCTTTCGAATGAGCCCATGAGCCCAGAAGAAAACCAAACGAGTATCATCTGCTTTCATTAACGTTCGTTGAATGAGATTTTTTGTTTGCCGTATACGACTTTTGGTCTGCCTCATACGGTTTTTGATTTGCCGCATACGGTTTTTTGTTTGCGTATACGGCTTTTGGTCTGCCTCATACGGGTTTTGATTTGCCGCATACGGTTTTTTTTCCGTATAGGCTTTTGGCGCCTCATAGGTTTTGATTCCGCATACGGTTTTTTTTTGCCGTATCGGCGGGTCGCCCATACGGGGCCGCCGGTTTTTTTTTTGCCGTATAGGGTTTTTTTGCCTCCGGTTTTTGATTTGGAACGGTTTTTTTTTGCCATACGGCTTTTGGTCTTATAGGGTTTTTGATTTGCCCCCGGGTTTTTTTGGGTAACGGTTTTGGTCGCCTCATACGGTTTTGTTTTTGCCGCTACTTTTTTTTTGCTATACGGTTTTGGCTGCCTCTAGGTTTTTGTTTTGCCGAAGGTTTTTTTTTTGCCGATCGGTTTTTGGCCCCCTCTCGGTTTTGGCCGCTCGGTTTTTTGTTTGCCTATCCTTTTGGCTGCCCAACGGTTTTGTTTCCGCTAGGTTTTTTTTTGCGTATAGGGTTTTTGGCTGCCTCATACGGTTTTTGATTTGCCGCATAGGGTTTTTTTTGTTTCCCGTATACGGCTTTTGGCCTGCCTCATAGGGTTTTTTGATTTGCCGCATAGGGTTTTTTTGTTTGCCGTATACGGCTTTTGGTCTGCCTCATACGGTTTTTGATTTGCCGCATACGGTTTTTTGTTTCCCGTATACGGCTTTTGGCTGCCTCATACGGTTTTTGTTTTGCCGCATACGGTTTTTTGTTTGCCGTATACGGTTTTTGCTGCCTCATACGGTTTTTGATTTGCCGCATACGGTTTTTTGTTTGCCGTATACGGCTTTTGGCTGCCTCAACGGTTTTTGATTTGCCGCATAGGGTTTTTTTGTTTCCCGTATACGGCTTTTGGTCTGCCTCATACGGTTTTTGATTTGCCGCAAGGGTTTTTTTTGTTTGGTATACGGCTTTTGGTCTGCCTCATAGGGTTTTTTTGATTGCCGCATAGGGTTTTTTTGTTTCCCGTATACGGCTTTTGGTCTGCCTCATAGGGTTTTTTGTTTTGCCGCATAGGGTTTTTTTGTTTGCCGTATACGGCTTTTGGCTGCCTCATACGGTTTTGATTTGCCGCATACGGTTTTTTTTTTTGCCGTATACGGTTTTTGGCTGCCTCATACGGTTTTTGATTTGCCCATACGGTTTTTTGTTTCCCTATACGGCTTTTGGTCTGCCTCATACGGTTTTTGATTTGCCGCATACTTTTTTTTTTGCGTATACGGTTTTTGGGCCCTGCCTCATAGGGTTTTTTGATTTGCCGCATACGGTTTTTTGTTTGCCGTATACGGCTTTTGGCCTGCCTCATACGGTTTTTGATTTGCCGCATACGGTTTTTTGTTTGCCGTATACGGCTTTTGGTCTGCCTCATACGGTTTTTGATTTGCCGCATACGGTTTTTTGTTTGCGTATACGGCTTTTGGCCTGCCTCATACGGTTTTTGATTTGCCGCATACGGTTTTTTGTTTGCCGTATACGGCTTTTGGCCTGCCTCATACGGTTTTTGATTTGCCGCATACGGTTTTTTGTTTGCCGTATACGGCTTTTGGTCTGCCTCATACGGTTTTTGATTTGCCGCATACGGTTTTTTGTTTGCCGTATACGGCTTTTGGTCTGCCTCATACGGTTTTTGATTTGCCGCATACGGTTTTTTGTTTGCCGTATACGGCTTTTGGTTTGCCTCATACGGTTTTTGATTTGCCGCATACGGTTTTTTGTTTGCCGTATACGGCTTTTGGTCTGCCTCATACGGTTTTTGATTTGCCGCAAACGGTTTTTTGTTTGCCGTATACGGCTTTTGGTCTGCCTCATACGGTTTTTGATTTGCCGCATATGGTTTTTGGTTTGCCGTATACGGCTTTTGGTCTGCCTCATACGGTTTTTTTTTCAAAACAGAAACACAACAATTTTTTTTGAATTGATAGAAAACTAGCTGGTCTGAAAATGTATCGGCGTGGTTTTTCGTGCCGTTTTCATCAAACCGGTCGAGGTCGTCGTGCCAGGCCTCGTGCCAGGCTGATAAACAAAATACGGACTTTCCCCGGGAGGCTTCTGGGCAGAAAACGCATAGTTTTGAAACTAGCTCCACAACTACACGCTGGCAAGGCGGAGGGAACGTCTCGACATTCTTCGCGGCATTTCCAGGCGCACGTGCCCGCGGGTCCGGCGGACCGAAGCCATTTTCCGTCTCTCTCGCACTCACGGGGCGGCCCGGACGCACAGTGGGCCAGAAGACCGTCGGAGGCGACGCTGGAGCTCAAAACACGCCTGGAGTTTTGGCAGCCTCCACCGGTCTTCTGGCCCACTGTGGGCCGAGCCTCGGCCACTTATCGAGTTGGCGTCGTCCAACTTCCTAATTCGGGTGTAAGATGTAAAGCGAATGTTGTCTCGTTTAATCAGTCGACTGCGTCTGAGGCGCGGTCTGGGGCCGGCGAGGCTCCGCCGCTTCGCGCTACGAGAGGCTCTGCGCACTAACTTTGCGCCGCTGCGGCTTTCGCGGCCTAAAAATTCGCGTCCGAACTTTTCCCCTCGTCCCCCCCCTCACCCCTCGCACATGCTCACGTCCTCGCCTTTTATTCTGCTCTCTTTTCGTCCTCCATGAAATACAAATTAGTCCGTCCGTGCGTGCCAGTTCGTGCGCTGTTCCCGGTCCCCCTGGCCCCCCTGGCCCCGCCGAGCCCCCTTGTCCGTCTGCTGTTCGCCGCGAACACGCCCCTCCCGCAGGTCCGCCAACCCTCTCCCGCAAAACGCGCGGGAAACTTTTCCGAATGGGGTTCAATTCACTGGAATAGTTTGAGTTTGCACCGAGAAAGAAAAACGAGCCGATGAAAATGATAACGCCGACAGAGCTTTCAATCCGGTAATATTTCGGCTGGCTTCAAATCAACGATCCTCAATATCATTTTTCCCCGTGGGGAGGCGTCCCATGTGTGGCGCCGAACGTCAGCAAATTAATCTCCGAAAGAAGCGAAAACAACAACAACTGGCGACAGGTTGTTTTTCTTTTTAATTGGCGGTGGGCCTGTCAGGCCGGACTGCGCGTCGCGAGATGGGGCGGGATGGCTTTGGGGAGCGACCGGCCGCCCTCGGACGCTTCTCGGCTTCCTGCACCTTCCTCAACTTTGTTCCTGTCAACCGTAAAGTGGGCGAAGGCGGGGGGAGGGGAGGGGAGCGCAGGGGGCTCAGGGATCACAGCGCGCCCAGAAATGAGCAAACCACAGAGTAGCCAGATGAGCGGGGGAGGGGGGGAGGGCCCTGGCAGCGCTGGACGGCGTTAATTGGAGAGCGTCGACCGCGTAAAACTGCCAAAAAACAAGCTTGAAAAAACTAACAAACGAAATTAATTATATGTTCCGCGGTGAACGCGATACCGTTTCGCTCACGGAATTGAAATACGAGCGAGCGGCTGTTTGTCGACATGGACGTCGGGACTGAGGTCTGTTCTGTTGAACTTTCCTGCCCTCCGAAAAAAGAAAGTTGACACTGGGTGTTCTTTGGACTGAGCTTTATTGAGGACTGGCGCGATCAAGGGCCTTGATTCAAGGCACGGTGGTGGGCGCGCGGGTGGTGGTTCGCGGGGCGGGCGTGGTGACGACCGGGGCGCCCTTCTCGGCGCACCGGCCCAGGCTGGGGTTGAACTCGCTGGTGCCGGGGCACCTGCCGGGCGTGGGCTGGCTCATCCTGCCGTTACCAAGGTCCACGCAGTCGTAGAAGCGCTTCTTGTCGGCGAGGGCGATGCGCCCGGCCTTGGTGCACGCCACCTGGCACTCGTTGTTGATGGTGCTGAAGGTCCTGCCCTCCTCGCACTTGAGCACCGCGGCCTCGCTGGAGTTGGTGCTCCGGCAGAAGGAGTAGATGGACGGGTCCGGGTTGTAGGCGACGAACGAGCCCGGCGAGCGGCACGTCAGCGTGACGCACGTCGCCTCCGACCTGGCCAGGCACGAGGAGCTCTTGTGGTCGTACACGGCGTTGCCGAACGAGCTGCAGTCGTAGGCGTACGCCTTGCCGTCCGAGCAGATGTAGTACTTGGCGCAGTTGGTGACGTCGGGCCAGTAGCCGTCCGACGGGCAGTTGAACGTGTTGACGGGCTCGGGCTCGGTGCACTTGTCGTCCACCAGCGACACGTCTCCGGTGCAGGTGCCGTTCTGGAACGATGCGTCGTGTACAGAGCAGGTTTTCGGGTGGTCGAAAGAACGTTGCGACGGCAAAATCAGAGGCAAAGTTTTGCGTGCGCGGTGCGGGCCAGAGAACCGGCGGCCGAAACCCCAGACGCGTTTTGAGCTCTAGAGTCGCTGAACATGACTCGAACCGAACGTGTGACCCCACCAATGGATTCCTCGTTCGGAGAGCAATCCATTGGTGGGGTCACACGTTCGGTTCGAGTCCCATTTAGCGACTCTGGAGTTAGGCGTCCGGGATTTTGGCCGCCTCCACCGGTCTTCTGGCCCACTGTGCGCCGCAGCTTACCACGGGCTCGCAGTAGGGCGTGGTGCCGCCGCAGGTGTTGGTGCCGAGGTAGAACCAGACGCCTCCGACCTTGTCGCAGCGGACCTGGGTCTTGCAGTCGCTGCACGTGAGCTGCCTCTTGGAGGCGCACTCGGGGTCGTCGACCAGGGCGCGCAGGCCGCCGCGGAGGCGCGCGGACGGCGCCAAGGAGGCCTCCACGGCCACGGCCACGAAGGCGGCCACCAGCTGCGAGCACGCTTCGTTAGTCCACGCACCACGAACGACGTCCTGGTGGTCTCGGCTACTCACCAAAACGAAGACCTTCGATGCCATGGCGTCGCTTGGGTACGTCGGTGACTGACCACAGAGTCTCAGGGTCGAGCTTTTAAAGGACGACTATTCCGAAATCAGCCCGGCAATCTGATCTTATCTGAAGCATCCGCATCCGTAAATGTCTTGTCTACTATTTGACGTCGGTCGTCGAATGTTTGTTCACTCTGGGAACTCAAGTGTGCGCTCGATTGACTTCACGTGGCGACTAACTCGCGACACACGCCGGGAGTGCAAAGTCCGAAAAAGCTCTTCGTGCCGTGGTTGCGCCACTTGCGGTACAGATCTATCAGCAGCAGGTGGATGGGGATCGAACCACTGTTAAAAATACGACAGCTAGAAGTGCAATTTTCGTGGTTTTTTTTCATTTCTTTGAAAAGCATAGAACGGCTGAGTAAAATCTGTTGTTTTTTTTTTTTTTTTTGAAACTATAAAAAAAGATTTTTGGAGTGGGGCCCAACGATTTGGCTTTTCTGGCGATGTAGGGCTAACTACCAACAGGCCGTGTGAAATGGAAGCTCATGAAGTACGGGGCGACCCGCGGGAGCACAGACGCTCTCGAGCCCCATGCCCCCGGGGCCCCCCCGGGGGTGTGGGCAGCGGGAACAAAACGCGCACAGTCCGCGCGGGAGCGCTCTGCTCGGCTCGGCTCCGCTCGGCTCTGCAGAGAATATCCGGGTCAGACTAAAACAGACCCGGTGCCCCACTCGGCGCGCTCATCCCAAATCTGCAGCGCCAGCGAAACAGAATCAACCAATCGGATTGCGCGGGGAAAGAAGGGGATACCGGTCCCGTCTCAAGGAGCCCACTCAGGAGAAAAGGGGTGCAAAAAATGGGGGATGAAAACATGTTGAGTGGGTTCGGTGCCATTACCTTCGGTAGGTGTACCGAGGGGGGAGTGGAAGGGGAAGCGGTGCCAGGACCACCAGCACTGAGGCTCCTTTTATTGCTCCTTCAAGCCTAGGCCCCCATCCCTTCCAGATCTCCCTCCCTCCCACTCTCTCTCTCTCTCTCTCTCTCTCTCTCTCTCTCTCTCTCTCTCTCTCTCTCTCTCTCTCTCTCTCTCTCTCTCTCTCTCTCGGGCTCAATCGCCTTTACTATTTGATGGCGCTGATGCCGTGAAGCAACAGGGCGGGCCAGTCGCGGCGGTCCTTGGCGAAATGGCAGCAGCACTACACTGCAAGCGAGAGAGAGAGAGAGAGAGAGAGAGAGAGAGAGAGAGAGAGAGAGAGAGCAAGGTCGACGTGCCGTGGATTCGTCAGCCAGCCACACCGCGAGAGCAGAAGCTGATTCCGCTCAGAGCGTTTTGGCGCTGTCTCTCTCGCACCAACACGAGACGACCTGTGAGTGCGAGAGAGACAGGAATAGAGGCATTCAGCAGGAGATAAGGTTCGTCCTGAGGGAGGCAGGCGGCTCACGCGGTGCTACGCACGTCGCCGAGGGCTAGGCACTACTTGCGGTGCCGTCTGCCTTCACCCCTGCAGACTGATTCCGAGAGTCGTCGCTCTGTCTCTCTCGCACCCGTGGGGCGTTCTGCATAGGTGCGAGAGAGACAGAGCGACGACTCTCGGAACCAGTCTGCTGCCACGGCACTGCTATTCCCGGCGGCCCTTTGTTGGCCAGCACACTGCCTCCGCGGTGCGGCTGTCTCTCTCGCACTCGCGGGGCGTGCCGTAAGTGTGCGAGAGAGACAGAGCGAATGATTGGAGGATGAGGCGTGGCCGCGGGGCGCGGTGCGTCACGCCCTGCCCTGCCTGTTTGGTGTCTCTGTCCCACGTTTAAATCAGATCTGCGCGAAGAAGGCGCTTATTTTCTCCGAACGCCGTAAACGCCACTCTGGCGATAGGGCCGCGCGCGCCGCCTCAAAGCGCACTCGCCGAAAAAAGAAGGGGAAACAAATATCCGAACCGAGGCGCACTTTAACGCCTTTCGTTTCGTCAAGCGCGCAGTGGGCCAGAAGACCGGTGGAGGCGGCCAAAAACTCTAGACGCGTTTTGAGCTCCAGAGTCGCTAAACAGGACTCGAACCGAATGTGTGACCCCATCAATGGATTCCTCGTTCTGAGAGCAATCCATCGGTGGGGTCACATCGGTTCGAGTCCCATTTAGCGACTCTGGAGCTCAAAACGCGTTCGGAATTTTGGCCGCCTCCACCGGTCTTCTGGCCCACTGTGAAGCGAAGTGGGGCATTCGCAGTGTACCGCGCGACGCTGCAGGACCCGGACGGTTCCTCCGGGCTCCCCGCTCGACCCAGAGCGCCTGAACCAAATCCCTCTCGCGCCTCACTTGTCCAACTCGCCGCGACTTCTCAATCGAGTTTGAAAGCCCCGGCGCTCCCGGCAGCGCTCCCACCTGCACCGGCTGACATTTTCATATACGAGCGGGCCGTAAAATACAGCGTAGGAGCAGCGCCGCACTAGTGAAGAGGAAGTGTGGAGGCTGCGGGGTGGAAACGGGGGGGGGGGAGTCAAGGGGCGACGTCGTCGACGATACGGAGGTAGTCAGGCGGCCGTATATACGAGGTGGCGGTCGTAAAGTCATTCGCAATGAGACCTCCCTCCTCGCCGCCCCTTACACACGTGCGCTCGCAGCACCACAACAGCGCCGCCATCACCGCGACCCACTGCCGGCAAAAAGGCACCCACTCGCGCCACTCGAGCGGCGCGAGGTTGGCAACGCGACTACTGCTGCAATTGGGGTCGCTCCACGACGAATAGCACAGAGCCGAGGCGCAGTTAAGCGGCGAAGTGCTCTGGCCCCGCTCTGCCGGCGTCTTCCGCCGCAGCGCGAGATGCTGTAAGGAATCCACTGGGTCAAACTGCGCATTATTGGAACGACAGTGTAGCAGTATCATAGTGTGTCCAATCCGAAGAGACCCCCCACTTGCGAGAAGCACCGTATTTGGCCTCCGTGTGCGAATCGCCAAATTAGGTCGCATGCCGGAAAAGTGTGCGAAAAACAGTGCAGCTCCGGGGGCCCTCTCTTAGTCAGTATGTCTCTCTCTCCTCCCCCCATCCCCTCTAGCGTTCAATTCCAGCCACGCCCCCGCAGGGACACAAGTACACAAGGCTAGAGCAGCAAGGTAATTTCTTTGCAGGCGGTGTCGGCGTGCCCCCCCCCCCCTCTCTCTCTCTCCAGCGCGGCATTCCAGCGCTCCAGACTCCAGGCGCCCTCTCGGCTCCAGCCCAGGCTCCAGCCCAGGCTCCAGCCAAACGCCCGCAGGGCATTGATTCCGTCACGGGCAAGACGGGCCAGGTGGCCTCTGCCCCGCCCCGCCCCGCCCCGAAAGACACTTTGAATTTGAGGGGACGCGGCGACGACGCGACGGGCCGCCGCAGGGGGACACCGGCAAGCTAAGACACTGCTACTTGTCGACGTCGCATTCCTCCCACAAAATAGCGCACAAGCCGAATTCGCTGGCAGCGACGCCCAGCCCCACCAGAGAAAGAAGACGAAACTTTTCTGGCCCACATTCATGAGCGCGTCAATGCAGACCTAAACTAGAGTCTCCCACTTTTTTTTTCAGTCGGCCGGACGGCCTTCTTAATGACCTTGACCTCATAATGAAGCCGGGACGATAATCCCGCCTTAAAATTAATTTGACATAAATTGTCATCAAGTGACAACCAACAATTTTACAGTGGAGGTTGTACTTTATTTTAGCTGGACTTACGGGTGCCATCGAAGCGCGTGGCGATGGTGTCGAGGAAGGTGTTCTGCGGCGCTAAAAGCCCCTTTCGCGCCGGCATCCTCCGGGGCTCCTGAAACACCAGCAAAGTCTTCATTCATTTTCCCAAGATATACACTGCAAAAAAAACTTTTTTATTAAAAAAAATTAAAGTTTGGTTTTGAAAATGTACATAAAATGAGGTCCCGGAAAAAGTACGGACCTTCCGCACTGGTTCTCCATAGTGTCCATAAGGACCTCATGAAAATGGGGGTGAGGTAAGAAGGTCCGTCCAGTCAAATAAATGACCATCCTACCAATTCTCAAATCTGTCCTTTTTTTTCGGCCAGTGTACCGTCTTGTCCAAAGTCACGGCGCACGCGCGCCATGCGACGCCACGCACGCAGCTTCCTCGAGACGCGTTGCTGGATTCTGATTTCATCCCAGCTTTCCCGCCACTTCCAACTCGGCGAGGCGCGGCGCGGAGCGGAGCGGCCTCATGCATTTATTCACGCGCCTCGGGAAGGAAACGCACCTCTCGCCATCGCCGCAGTCATTCCCCGTGATGCATTGGCGCCAATTGAAAGATCTATATGTTTCAAAAACGCAACGTACTGACGGCTTGCACAGTGGGCCAGAGGACCGGCGGAGGCGGTCAAAATCCCGGACGCGTTTTGAGCTCCGAGCTCGCTAAACAGGACTCGAACCGAACGTGTGACCCCACCAATGGATTGCTCTCCGAACGAGGAGTCCATTGGTGGGGCCACACGTTTGGTTCGAGTCCTGTTTAGCGAGCTCGGAGCTCAAAACGCGTCTAGAGTTTTAGCCGGCTGCGCCGGCAGCCTCGCCCGCGAGAGGCTTCAGTCAAAAGCGATTTGGTGCCCTTGTCAATAATTTGGCGGTGCGGCGCAGGCTTTATCGGTAAACTCCGCCAGGCCTCTGCACGCCGAGGGCGGCCTCCACCTCCCTCGCACTCGTACGGCGCCGCGCAGGGGTGCGAGAGAGGCAGCGCATCGAGAACTAACCGCCGTTCGGAGCGAGGCTGCACGGCGGCCGCGCGGGCTCAGCACCAGCGGCTGGAATCCGCCAAATAATCTGCCCGCCGGCTTCGGAAACTTTTCCCCTGCCCTTTCCATGGGGATAATGACTCCGGCGAGGCTTACTTTCAGCCTCCATGTTGCCGCGTGTGCACCTCGGGCACCTCATTGGTCGGTTTGATCCGTCTGACTGTCCGTCAACATAAAAACAGCAGGAGTCATTCATTGTAACAAAACTGACACTTACGCTGCACATATGGCATGCCCTGATACTAGACGCCCCAGTTTTTGCAGCGTCAAAATGGTGCTTACTTTCAGGACACCTTTGTTGCCTACTTTCAGGTTCCCTAAATCATTCAGAAACAGCTGTCCTCTCATGATGGACCATGCACGATTCATTTGCTATAGATGGAGCAAACGGTGCGCAATACCTGGGCAGCGACAAAGTTTGCCCAAATCCTAGATGTCTTGCCGTGAGCTGGTCACCTTGGCTGCCCATAGGCTGGGTGTTTTGAAATAGTATCAAGAAACTGGACATCTTTTCAAAATTTTCACTCTATTTTATGCATTATGAGTAAGCGACAGAAAATATTCACTTCTCGGATGAAGTGTTGTCGATTGTGACCCCCAGAACAGATAGGGATTAAAAACTCACCATTTTTGTATCCTGCACCCACTTTAAATTCCTGACTCATACTTCTATTTCCAAAACACAACACAAAAACACACTATGCTGTGTCTGGCTAGGGTTAGTCGGCAGCCTCCTTCCTCGATTTAGCTTCAATGTGCCAACATTTCCACATGTCAGCACACACAAAGCACGTCCGCTCCCCGGCCGATGACACGAACCCATTCTTCCAAAGAAGAAAATATCTTGAACACTTGTGAAACTATTCTAACATAAGAAAATAAACCATACGCAATAACGAAAACAAAACTAAACAAACAACATTACGGGCGGGCGAGAGCGGCAGGACTGCCAACACTCCCAAGCTACTTCCTTTTGGAGGATTTCGTTTTCATATGTTGGCACTTCATCGCCCGGACTGTTGTTCTTGTTTGTTTGTTTTTTCTTTCTTTGAGGCGGGTCGATTTATTATTTCATTTTAAAGCGGTTACACAAGATACAAGATATTGTCTTCTTCAAAATAATGGTTGAATGCCATCGGGAGGTGAGTAAACGTGCTTTGTGTGAGTCGCCCTATTGAAACGTCGGAAAATAGAAGCTAAGTCGAGGAGGTATCTTCTGCAGAGCTGCCGACTAACCCTATATTTACAAGCCTGCCATGACTCAGCCAGACTCTGCATAGTGTTTTGTTGTCATGTATTTTGTGGCCTGAAACCATGCAGCAGGCTCAAGAGAAGCAAGAAACCTTTTATAAAACGACACCTTAAGCCAGGAATTTGGAGTGGATGCAGGACACATGCATGGCGAGTTTTAAATCCACATCTGCTCTGAGAGTCGCAATCAACAAAACTTGAGTCGAGCAGTTAATCTTTTCTGTCCTTTAGTGCCTAAAATAGGATGAGAATTTTGAAAAGATTTCCGGTTTCTGGAAACCATTTCAAGACGTCCAGTTTCTGGGCAGCAAAAAGTGACCAGTTTATGGGCGACCACAGATCTGGGCAACTTAGTCGCTGCTCAGGTAGAGTGCGCCCAGGGCCTGCCATATTTGCAGTGTGTATTCCAACATCAGCATCAACTTTTTAAAGTTACTTTAAATGTTGTTTCTGTTTTGCTTTTTCAAAAAAATTGTTTTTCCGCCTGTCCGTACGACTGTTCAGCAACCCATTCGTCCGTCTTTCTGTCTGTTCGCCCATCCGTCTGTCTGTCTGTCTGTCTGTCTGCCTGTCCGTCCGTCCGGCGGCCGCTGCTCCCCGAGCCTCCTCCTCCTAGACCCTCATTCACCGCAAATTGGAAGCAAAATGTCGAGGCGCCAAGTTTAAATTAGCCCGATAGCTCGGCAAGTTGTCCCGCAGTTTGCAACACCTCGGTGGCTCCGTTAGGACAGCGTCCGCAGCGTCCGCAGGCAGCCACTCTGCCAGAGGAACCCTTCCGCAAGGCAAACAGTTACGCGGTTTCAGCACACTGTAAGTTACCGAACCTCCACTGAAAAAAAAACTTTGATGATCAACTTTAGGCTGAATTGGATTAAATAATACGAGGACTACTGAGCTGGGGCTCGCTGTCGCTCAATTTGCAGCGTGGATTGAGGAACTGTCGTCACTCGTGCCCCATTGGCCAGGAAGGTTTGACAGTGTAGCGTCGATTGGCTGCCCCGTTTCCGGTCCGCGTGTCGTTGCCCCCGTTTCCTTGTTTTTGTCGCGCTGCCTGTTTTTGTCGCGCTGCGTTTGTAAACGGCGCGGTGGGGCCCTTGGCCACGGAGCCACGGACGCCGCGCCGCCGTCGTCTGTCTCTCTCGCACCCAAGCGGGGCGCCCCACGAGTGCGAGAGAGACAGAGCGACGGAGACGACTCTCGGAGTCTGCAGGCGGGGCGGGGCCGGGACGGGCCGGGCGGCGGGGACTTTCACAAACTTACCCCCGGCAGCGCATAACTTCTCCCTCCGCGGCTCCGCGGCCGGCCGACCGGAGCCAGGCACGGTCGTTCCGAACCGCGCCGCGCTCGGCTTTCCGATCAAGGCACGGCCGAAGGGGCCGATCGGGAAGGACGAACGAAAGGTACACAATCGGAAGGGACGGCCGAAAGGTTCAATCGAAAGGGATGGTCGTAAGGGGCGAGCGAGAGGCAGTCCCAAGGTCGCGCGGAGCCGCCTATCTCGCTCTTTATCGAGGTGGGGGAGGAAATGGCACCGCCACACTGTCTCGAGTGCCACTGCTCAGCAGACTGTCTCTCTCGCATCCGCAAGGGGACTCGCACTGAGCGACCAAACGGCCCTCCAAATCACTCTGGCAAAATCGGTTGTTTTGGCACCGCTAACGAACATCAAGTGGGGCCTTCCTGGGCACTGCCAAATCGCGACTTGGTTTCGAAGAAGGGTTTTATCGGACGAGCGCGTGTATTTTTTCGAGCGTTTCCGCCTCGGGAACAACAGTCGTCGTCGTGAGCAGACCTTTTCTTTTTCAATTCGAGGCTCGTTTCGAACTTCAGCCCGTTCCGACAATGGCGACAATTTGGAGCTCATTTGGGATGCGACGCGCCAATGGAATGACACCAGCAGCGGGGCTAGCCTCGCCAGCCAGCCAGCCACACCCTCAAAGCCACTCAGGCGAACAGTGTTGCCAACTTTGGAGGGGCACATACACCAGCTTACGACCGGGCCAGCCAGAGGAACGGGGCCAGATGCAAATGAACTCCTCATAAGCGCTGTGTGGGTTGGCGGCATGGCCCGGCATGGCCAGACAGGGATTACACTGCCACATTTTTACGCTCCCACTACATTACACTACTTCGTGTGCATGGTGGTGCACGGAGTCGAGCAGGCGTTTTTAAAATCCACGCGAATTCGTGCGTGACACAGTGGGCCGCCTCCACCGGTCTTCTGGCCCACTGTGCGTGACCGACCAGGCACCAAAATGGGCGTTTGTTTCGCACGAATTCGCGAATTTCAGGCTAATGTTATTATTCGTGGAAAAGCCGTGCACGAGAAAAAAAAACACTTAGTAACAGTGTTGCAGAGTGAGGCTTGTTCTTCGTAGTGACGCCGACTTCCCAAATCGAAGCGACTTAAAGCGTCACACGTCCTTGACGTCGTGTCTCATTAGATAAGAGGATCGCTCTCAGTGGTCTGATCTAATGGCACTGTGGAACGATAGCGGCTTTTTAAAGGATTTAATCTGCACTGCTTGAGTACATTTCCTGTTGAGCAATGGGACCCGGCTGTCAAGGAGCCCACCTGCCAGTCCGCCGGCTGCTCCGTCCCACGCACAGTGGGCCAGAAGACCGGTGGAGGCGGCCAAAACTCTAGTCGCATTTTGAGCTCCAGAGTCGCTAAACAGGACTCGAACCGAACGTGTGACCCCACCGATGGATTCCTCGTTCGGAGAGCAATCCATTGGTGGGGTCACACGTTCGGTTGCTCGAGCACCCGCGGTGCTCGAGGCGGGCAGGTCCTTCACCGCGGCCAGTGCCAGGTGGCGCGTAATTTCAAGTGCCCCTGCTCCGTTTCCCGGGTTCTGCTCGCTTCTTTTTGGCGCGGTGAAGCTCCACGAACACAACGCAACGCGACCAAACAACCCCGTGTGGGGCGCCGGGGCCGCTAGGGCCGGGGCCGCCAGGGGCACCCAGGTGCGGCACTCCCGCTGCAGGGCGGGGCGGGGCGGGGCGGTGCAAACGGCCGCCTCCGTCCAGCCCCCCACCGCTCTGTCTCTCTCGCACTCACGGGCCGTCCCGCAGGGGCGCGAGAGAGACGGAGCGACGAAACGACTGTTCGCAACCACCCCGCAGATGAAAAGAACGCAGACAATGCGCGGCCTCTGGCAAGCCTGCGGGCTGAGCGTCGCTTTCGTCGCTCTGTCTCTCTCGCACCTATGCGTGGCGCCCCGCCAGTGCGAGAGAGACAGAGCGAGAAAACGACTCTCGCTGGCAACCGGCGGCTCGCTCTTCACCAACAGACCTGCAGTGCACTCTCTCCGGTGCGTTCTGAAGAGCACCCTCTTAAAAGTGCGGCACGAGTGCACTCTTACCAGTGTAGTCATTTTTAAAACACTCAGGAGAGTGTACCTACTCAGATGAGTGCCTTCGAGTGTCCTGAAACATAAAGTCATCAAGCGTAATGCTTCACGTTTGGGCACTTCATCTCCTCCCTGGCGACGTGGTGACTGTCTCCGGTCCAGCTGACAGTGAGCCAACCTTGGGAGCGCCTGCGGACGGCGGGGTAGGCAGCGCCGGTGCACGGCCGCTGGCGGCGTGGCCTACCTCCCAGGCTGACTCGCAGTGGGCTAGAAGACCAGCGCAGGCGGCCAAAACTCGAGACGCGTTTTGAGCTCCAGAGTCGCTATATGGGACTCGAACCGAACGTGTGACCCCACCAATGGATTCCTCGTTCGGAGAGCGATCCATTGGTGGGGTCACACGTTCGGTTCGAGTCCGATTTAGCGACTCTGGAGCTCAAAATGCGTCTCGAGTTTCGGCCGCCGCCACCGGTCTTCTGGCCCACTGTGCGACGATGGCGACGGCCGCCAGGGGTCGCCA